TTTCCTGGTTTTGTCTTACCTCCCACTTGGAAAGAATAAAATCTTCAATTGTCTGTGTTCTTTTATGAGATTTTTTGGGTCTAGTTACTCTACAAATGAAGCTAGTTATTAAGTGCTTTTATGCTAATCATTTCTCACCCTTTGCTCCTGAGGGCTGTTACTGTATCACATCACGGAAGGCGCCACAGGTCTGAAGATACGCTGTTATTTGTGTACCACTAAGAAGGCAAAGCCAGGCAGCTGTAATGGTGTTAGTCTGCTGTTTTCAAGACGTGGAAGTGTGGGGAATGTGTGCCCTAGAAGTGATGAAGCACAGTGCTCTATTTTTATGCTCTGCTTGCATCGTTATGGATGTGACCTTTTAACCTGTGGCTTTTCTCCACTTGTTAGTTTTGGTATGGCGTACGACTTTATTGATTCGGTGGGAAATGATGTGGATGTGGTGTCTGACTCTGAAGTAAGTGGTACTTAATGTTTAATGCGGTCTCGGGTATTTTGTGCTAGATGTTTTATGCTGCGCTCTGTGGTGTATTAACTGTTATCTAAGAAATTAGCGACTAAATAAGATAAAACTGTCTCAGTATTGAACACATTTTTTATTATTAAAGTAGCACTCTCTACCACTTCTCTTCAAAGAGGAGGAAACAGCACCGGCAGTGGTAATATAATTAATATTCATGCCTGTATCCTAACAGTGGTTATTCAGTCTGATGATGATGTGTGGGATTGCTCTGTATATGCTGCCTGTTGAGATCTGTGAGTGATGAGATGGTAGTAAAGTCTGCTGATCTTTAGCTGCTCAGTCTTAGCTGTTCTGCTGAGAGTATAGGTATTGCAGCAGTGAGACTTGCACACACTTGACTTTGAGAAATTCCATCACATAAAAATAAATGTCTGACCGTTGTGTACATTAGCATAGTATCGATCATAAAACTAATAGCAGACTCACTGCCATTGAGTCGATATAGACTCATGGCGATCCCCATTGGGTATCCAAGACTGTAAATCTTTACAACAGAGATCAGTCCATTTTCATTCCATGGAGTGGATGGCAAGTTTGAACCGCTGACCTAGTTAGCAGCCAAGTGCCTTATCCACTACACCACCAGAGCTCAGTATCATTCATAAGTGCAGGTGTTTCTGGCTTTAAAGTTCTGTGTTCTCTGTGTTTATTTATCGCTTTTGGTGGGAAGTACAGTTTATATAACCTGAAGGAAATAAGGGCTTATTTTGCTTTTAAATTGAATGAAGTTAAAGGTTGAAAGATCCATAATAAAAAGGGCTTTCTAAACTATTTTTCCTCCTCATCTTTTTCCAGAACATAAAAAAGCTCCTGAAGATTCCCTACAGCAAGTCTCACGTGAGCATGGCGGTGCACCGCGTGGGAAGGACGCTCCTGCTGGACGAGCTTGATATCCAAGAACTGTTCATGAGGTCATCACAGGTCCGTGAGAGCTCGTTATTCTAACAACTTCAGGGCACTAGAAATAAGAGTTCATTTTGAAGGGCCAGCGTAGAAAAATGGTTGAGTACTTAAGCAATGGGCTGAAGTTTAACTGAAGATAAAGAAAGCTTTAATAGAAAAGAAGAGGGAGGGAGAGAATGGGGAAGAAAATTACTTTATTGATACCAGTGGCCAGAATTCTTATAAGGAAAAGGATGGAGCCAAGGAAGAGAGTTGCCAAAACTCTGTAGAAAGTTTAAAGAACTAGTTTAAATTGTGAAAAATCTTTGGATGTCTCCATCAAGGAGATTAAAGAATTCATAAACATAGTTACCAGGAAATGTGAAAAATGTTACAAGTTATCCCTGTGAATGGTTATTAGAATTAGTTGATCCTTGTGAAGCAGAACTTGTCATACCACATGTTGGAAAGAATTGCTCCCTTCCTACTCACCCCTGCCTTAAGATTATACTTTTGTGAAATACTGTAGCCATGCAAGTCTTTCTCAAGGCTTACTCTCCGTTTTTATACCACCTTGTCATGGACTTTAAGGAGCTCTGGTGGTGTAGTGGCTAAGGCATTTGCCTGCTAACTAGAAGGTCGGTAGTTCAAACCCATCAGTTGCTGTGTGGGAGGAAGAAGGGGCAATCTACTGCTGTAAAGATTTACAGCCTTGGAAACCCTATGGGGGTTGCTGTGAGTTGAAATGGACTCGATGGCAGTGGGTTTGGTTTGGTTTGGTGTGGTAGGGTGGACCCTACCATTGCATAGACCACTCTTCGAAGAATATTCCTGCAATGCTTTGATAGAGGAGAATACGTTCCACTTATGTAAATTGATATTTGCAGTCAGTGTTTTTCCCTTTGAAAAGACCAGGGTTCAGTCGTCTGTGTGTATGTTCAAGGCTCTGTGCAGGTCTTGGGATGTGACAGTGAAAAACCCATAGTTCTTCTGCTTGGCAGCTTTGGGGCTGCAAACACAGGCACAGATCATTTCCGTCTCTGCGTAGTAGGCTTACCCCAGGTGCTAAAAAAAACGTTGTGGAGAAGGGTGTCACTCACAGCCTGGGTGAGAGCAAGGAAGAGGACGGGAAGGTTTCCCAACACCAGTGATGGGAAGTGAGTCTAGAATGTGGAGGGTTTATGTGAGTATGTGTCTATGAAACAGTGTTCAGAAGGTAGAATAGTTCCTGTCGAAGAGTAATGGATGACTTTGCTGTGTTACTCAGACTGGGGACTGGACGTGGCTGAAGGAGTTTTACCAAAGGCTGATTGACCAGAAGTGGCAGAGGAAGAAGAAGAGCAAGGAGCACTGGTATCAGAAAGCCATCCTCTCCAAGTTCCTGTATTACAGGTGCTTGGCTCCTTGTTTCTTTTTACCTTAGCATAAAGAGAAGATAGGAAGTTCTGATCTGAAATTTAGTTTGAAGCTTGTAAAGACGGTCATTTCAGTTTTGCCCCTGTGACTCTGTTAACATTTGTCTTACATTGTCATGAGTCGGGATGACTTGATGGTGCTGGGTTTGGGTTTAGGGTAGTATGCTTGGTTACAGAACCTTGTTTTTAGAAACCAATTGACTTCAGTGAAATGAGCTTTAGCAACATACTGATCTTCCTTGTTTCTGATTTGGCCAGTATTAACGGTGATGGAGCTGCACAGCCAGTGTCGTCTGCTGCCGACCAGCAGGAGTCATCCGGTGCAGGTCAGACACAAGGCGCGGAGGGGCCTTCATGGCCGGCCCCTTTTGAAATGCCTGCCTCGGTCTCTGAAGATCCCAGTGCCTCGAATCAGGTCAGTTGGTATTCAAGAGCCAAAGAGATGAACGAGTCAGAATGTTCCGTTCATTCACTTCTAATGGGGAAAACAAAACTTGGTTTAGGGTTTCAAAACTGTCATGAATGGTTAGACCAGGTTTTTTTTTTTTTTTTAATTAAACAATTCAAAACATAAAGTTTTCACTAGTATTTAAGATCGCTTACCAGTATATTTATCAGTACTGATTATCTCCCTGAAAGTATTAGCATGTGTGAAATACAGCTATCAATGCCATCTATTTTTCACTTGTAAGTAGTAAGTACCTGTCAGATAGTAAGACTCTTTGCAGGTTTGTTTGTGACTTAAATACTGACCTTCTTCCCTTCACTGTTAGTCAGATGGTTAGATCTGAAACAGTCTGTAAGGTTTTCTGGATGAAGTTCTTGGAACACTTAGCCTACATTCACATTATAAAATTTTAGGAAGGAGGAGAAAATATAATCAGTTGTCCATTTTGTTTCTTGCACTCTTGATTTCTTCTCTTCCTTGTTTATTTTTTATGTCCTTATAGTATCTATCAAAGAATAAAATAACTCCATAGGTGTAAATTGTGGCACGTCTTTTTTCAGGAAAATATATTGATGATCCTGAAGAAGGTACGATGAGATCTTTAACTTTGTGGGTTGTGTTTTTCCTCTTCTGTTTCACGTATTGAGTGCTATCTCACGGACTGTTTCCATCCTCAGAAATTAAGGGGTTATGGGAAACAAGTACGTTTAAGTGCGTTTTAGTATTAATAGGTTTTAAGATGGAGAAACTACATAATGTATTTAAATTTGTTTCCAAAGTGGGAAAACCATGAGGAAAAGGAAGGAAGTAGTTGCCATTCAAGTCTTTCGGGGCAGGGACGTTGTGTGATGGAGAAAGTGGGTGCGGGGCTGCCAGCAGCATTTCATGTCCTGACTCAGGTGATGGTTACTTGAGTAATTTGCTTGGTAATTAGCGTATTTGCTTTTGTTTTATCTACTTTCCTGTATGTAATTATACTTCACTAAAGGAATTGGAAAAATACATTTATTAATTCTTGACTTCAAAGCCCACACCCTACAGAAAGGGCCACAGATGACCACTGCTACCCCCTACCCTTCTCACCCATCTCCCAGTCTCATTATCTGTCCTTGCCACTTACTTCAGGGTTATTGTGAACAGTCTGGGAGGCTTATGAGAACCTATCAACTTGCCTGTGGAAAAAGCAGACAACACTTTTAATGCCCCGTATGCCATGTGTTTTGATGTATGTGTGTGCGTACGTTTTGTTTCATCCTTGGAGCTCCTGTGCATAGTCCATGTTAATCACAGCATTTTACACATAAGCTGAAGCTCATAAAAAGGAGCTCTTTTTCCATAGCCTTGCAGCTAGTGAAGTCTGAGCTAGGGTTTCAGCCCAGCTCTGTGCATTCAGACTTGTCCTTGCAGCTGTCTGCCCTCGCCCCATGTACTCCACGTGTGCAAGAGGGCCCTACAGTTGGCTGGGCTGTCTTACAGTGGTATACTTCTGAGCAGAGCTAGCCTGGCATAACAATAATCTTTTATGGAATGTGTTTTTAGTTAATACTGCCTGTTTCATTCAACAGTTAGTGGTCTTTTAATTTTTTTTTTTTTTTTTACGACTTCATCAATTCTTGTTCTCAGAACTAAACTGCTTTTTAGAGGCCTGTACTTAAGCAGTGACAGAGTTTTAAGTAGGTACCTGTGGGATGGCCTTGAAGCCAAACCTTTACTGAGACGTTGAAACCTAGAGCCCAAACTCCAACAAAGCAACCACCTGGCAAATACATTTGTGGGGCTCAGTCCACAGGCTGAGAACGTGTCTGTATAAACAGATAGTAAAAAAGAGTCTGAAGTTCTGTTATTTGAACTTCCTATGAAGGAGACAAGACACAACAAAAGGGCTACAAGTCCTCAGTTGCCCATGCTGACCTGCACAGGCAGGTGCTAAGCCTCTTGGCATGTGTGGTATAAGCAGCACACAGGTGCATGCCCATGTTGGAGTGACTTTAATGTAATGTTGGTTTTGGGCCACCTTAGAAATTACAATGTCACTTAATAACATCTGTCCTAATGGTTAGAAAATTGAAGGCCATCTACCCAGTGTCAGACCCCCTTCCCAAGTGCTTCCAACGTGTGTCCTCAGAATGTATTAGCAACAAAAAGTGTCCTGAGAGGAAATAAATTTGGGAAACACCAGATTATACAGAGGTAAAGTGGATTTTTCTGTTGTAGGACCTTTTAGAGACTTTTTTTAAAAGAAAAGCATTGTTTCTCTCCAAAAGGAGCTATATGGTAAGGAGCAGTTCTCAAACTTGATTCTGGAAAGTTTTCATTGACTATCCCAGGGGCTGATATCCCAGGAAACACACATTAGGCCATGCTGAACTAGTGAGTGTATAAAGATAAGTGTCTCTCCACAGCATGGCTGGGGTTTCTTAGGAACTTCTAAGTTCCACAGAGATGGGTGGCTGAAAAGCAGTAATATGCACATTTACCCAAAACAGAAAAATCAACAACTTCAAAAACATTCATCTTTATCATTGGAGTAAGTTCTACTTGTGATGAGTTTCTTGTGGTTGCTATGGTAATTGAGAGCCAAAGGGAGCTACCTGGTGATGAGAGGTTCTGATTCACAGAAGGGGCTTGGGGTGTCTGCTCTGCATGTTTGGGTCGGGCTCTAGCAATAGGCCATTTTCAAGCAATGACAGCAGCAGAATCACCCTTATCCTTGCACTTTTCACAGGAAAGGGAGCCTTTGGGGCCCTCATACTTATGGGGGCATGTGGCCTCAGCACCCAAAGAACAAAACCTGACTGCTTTAGTCAGTGACGGGGAGAACAGTCAGGTATGCTCTCCATGGTACCCAGGCTGAAACCCCCCGTCTGCTTCATCCCTCAGAGACGCGGTTCAGTGGGAATTGGTAGGAAAAGCATCCTCTTGACCCTGGAAGTCACTCACTCCTCCAGCCCGCTGTGATCTCCCACTTCTGAGACTTTCATTTCCTCTGTCTCTTCCGTTTTCTGATCTTTCTGTGGATCACGGTGGGGGGGAGATGACGGGTTTTCTGTTGATTAAATAGTGCCTATTTTATTTTTGAATCAAAGGGTCTTAAAAATGATTTTGTTCGGAATATTTTGTGGACATTTGAGGATATACATATGCTGGTTGGCTCCAACATGCCTATATTTGGAGGAGGCAGATATCCAGCGGTCAGCTTACGTCTCAGGTAACCAAAATTATGTCCCTCCTTGATCTGAAATCATATATATTCTTCCTTTAGAATCAGTGTTCCATCAGCTTTATTTGGGCATCCTTTTCTGTTTCTAGGTTTTTGACCCCCTCCTCTTGCCAACTAAAAAGGCAAGTAAGTAAAAAGTAAGGAAGATGCTTTTATTAGCAAACGCTGGAAGCCCTATAGTTCAGTCTTTGTTCTAAAAAACAAAAAACGAAACTTACTGCCATTGAGTCGATTCTGACTCATGGCGACTCCCTTTGTGTTTCCGAGGCGGTAAATCTTTATGAGGATAGGTTGTCCAGTGTTCCTTCCACAAAGTAGCTGGTGGGTTTGAACCACCAACCTTCTGGTTAATAGTCATCTGTCTTAGGCACTACACCACAAGGAGTTGGCCTGTTCTTATGTCTGAGAACATAGTAGAATTTAATTACATATGGAGGTGGCTTACCAGCTTCCTGTTCACAGACTAAACATTTTTCTTCATGCTCCATCTGGTTCATAGGGGCCAGTGTGACTTGTGACCTGGGCATTATCACATGCAGGTTCAATCTCTCACCTCAGCTTGTAGGAGGAACATGGAGTATCCTCACAGTCACCTGCCATCCTGACTCCTCCTCACCTGACTGAATCCTTAAGGATAACCAGCTAGAAATGTAAACAGTTTACAGAAGTGGGCTCAGTATAGCACAGACGCCAAGCTGCAGTGTGCATATCTCATCAGAAAAGAGGGGGTGTCCAGGGCACCACCCATTGAGGGAAAATAGATTAAAATAGGTAAATGGGGAAGAAAGTCCCAAATGGTTCATGGTGGAACCTCCTAATGAAACCAGATAACTCTGGAAATGCATATTTTCAGGGATAACAACAAACCAATTAATGTGCTAACTGGAATTGACTATTGGTTGGACAACTTGATATGCAACGTACCAGAGCTTGTGATGTGTTTTCATGTCAACGGGATTGTGCAGGTAAGACCCAGTGTGACTGTCTTCTGAGAATCTATCCAGGGAAAAGTGGTGCAGAGAGTACCTCACCAAAGCTGCTCAGGCCCTTAAAGACTGAGGTGTATGTTAGGCAGAGAGCTGTGAATAAACTGAATTGTGGGTGTCTTCAGTCTTAACTTGGTGATGTCAGACTAGATGTGACAGGAATGTAACTTCACAGGCAATTTGTGTCAGGGTCATAAACATGGTCAGCTGACACTCTAGCTGTAGACTTCTCGTTTTTAACGTCAGACACTGTAGTAATTACCTGAGAATGTTTACACAGTGAAGGGACTTCTTCAGTATACAAATATTCTCTGGGATTGTACAGAGTTCCGGGGGGGAAAAGGCCTTTGAGAACAGCATAAAGTAGATAGCCAGTGTAGCAAATTTCTTATTGAGTATGTACTGTTGACAAAGGCACTTTGTCCCCATTTTAAATGCTGAAGGAAAACAAAGGCTTAAGATTTCGTCACTACTCAGAAAGATGTAATCTGTTAGGAAGTGAAGATGCGCAAAGAGAGAGAGAAGATGGGGAATGTGTGAAGTGTAGCCTGCCCGCAGGGATCTGGAGGTCAGAGTGGTTGGGGTAACTCTTAGATATGAAAGAAAGGCTTCATGGGAGAAGTGACATTTAACTGGGTCTTGAATAAGAGCACCTGAGAAAATGAAGGGGGGTGATGTTAAAGGCTGCTGTAAGTAAGTGAATAGAGAATGGTGTTGAATCCAGTTTGCTGGGATGTACGATTCTTGTAACAGAAGAGTTGGAAATAAGGTTGGAAAAGTTGTGGACAGATAATGGAGACTCTTGAATGCAGAGCTGAGGACTTTGGCCTTGGCTCAGTTGGTGATCCAGAATCAGTGAAGGCTGTGCATCTGGGAAGCACATGCACCGTGCTGGGATGTTCACTTAGAGAGCGAGAACGCTGGGCAAGCAGGGAGGATTTGGAGACAAGAAGACTGACCAGACACCACACTGCATCTGTAGGTCATGTCACGCATGTGAGATGGTGAGGTCCAGTAGTGGCAGAGGCTGGCTTGCGCTGACTAAGGCTTGTTTGAGTCCAGACTCTGTACTAAGTGAATGCATTACTTCATTGGATCTTCTTAGCTGCCTCGTGTGCCTCCCCTTTCAGTGGAGAGGAAAACAGGCTCAGGGAGCCCACAGGAGTTGCCCAGGGTCTCGTGGCTCGTGGCTCATGTGGCTGTGTTTGAGCCGGTATCTACGTGAGATCATTATGCTCCAGCCCAGTGATTCTTAACCTGCACTGTGCTTAAGTCAGCGTGCCTCTTAGGAAATATACCTGCTCGGGCCTTCAGGACTCTGGGCAGGCAGGATCTGCTTGGAAAGCTTTGTAGATGAGTCTGATTGGGGCCCTGATTGAGAGCCACTATGAAACCATTACCCTAAAAAGACTGTTTAGTGGTGGAGGTGTGAGGAAGAGTCAAAGGGAACTCCAGGTTCAGAGACTGGGAGACTAGAGTATTGGTGGCATTGTTATCTGAGATAGGGACATGGGTCTGGTTCCAGGCAGAGAAGACGATGTATTTGTGTCCGTCATGTCTTCAGCTTGAGGAAAACATAAAAATGCCCTGTGGGCTGGTGGGGATGGCAGCCATTAGAGAGGACGGCGTGGGGTTGTCTGCCTGCTTCCCATTAGATGTCATCACCAAAGGCATCTGTGAAAATCAAACATTGGACCTTATTCCGTGGCTGGGGAGAGAGGGAGCTTTTGGAGTGAGGAGCAGAGCAGGGAGAGCAGTGTGGGCTGGAGCCCAGGAGAGGAGTGCTTTGAGGAGGGAGACAGTCGGCAGCACTGCAGGTTCACACGTTTGTGTGCGTTCTAGTGTTCTAACGGGACGAGTGCTGCTGCCAAAGTTCTCTCTCCCACTGCCTTCCATCTGTGTTTTACAGAAGTACGAAATGATCAAGACAGAGGAGATCCCCAATTTGGAAAACTCCAATTTTTCCACTAAAGTCATAAAGGACATTGCACAGAACATCTTATCGTTTCTGAAGTCAAACTGTACCAAAGAAGGCCATACCTACTGGCTGTTTAAAGGTAAGTGAGTTCTTGAATGAGCAAGGTCATGGGTGTGGGTGACTGCAGTCCATTGAGGCTTCCGTCTCTCTGCAGCAAGTGGCAGTGATATAGTGAAGCTCTATGACCTCACGACTCTGTGTGAGGAAACTGAAGACAAGTACCAAAACCCGTTCACGATGCCGGTGGCCATCCTCCTGTACAGGTGAGTGCCGTCAGGGGTTAAGGTGAACGAGGCACTGGCCGTGTTTGAAAAGTGACAGCAGACAGCCGCACCCCCTAAAGCCAGACTTTTAAATACTTTTTAGGCTTTCATAATTTAAAGAAATAGATACATTTGGGGTGGACCAGATATTCAGGTTTCCTGTGAAAACAGTGTAAATTTTTTGGGGGGGAGTAAAATACAACATCCAGTTATTTCTAGGAGCCCTCCTCTTGGAAGTGAGAGCATCCCTAGACTTGAATCTTGTGGGGAATGCTGAATAAGGAGTCAAGTTGATAGAAAATGGTTTTTTAGGGTTGCTTGCAACATGATGGTGAAGAAGACTCAAAACAAGAAGCACTATGGGACGATTAGGACGTTGCTCCTTAATTGTGTTAAACTGTTGGACAAAAGCAGGCACCCTCAGGTAAGATGAACGTGTGTATGTTCTCTCAGAGCCTCTCTGGCATTGTCGCCTCGACAGGAAGTGGAGGTTTCTAGCCGTGCTGTGTGACAGCTCTGTCTGACAGGGTAGCCGCTGATCACATGGCTGCCCAGCACTGGAATATGCCCCGTCTGTGTAGAGAGAGGCTGTAAGCATGAAGTACTCATGGATTTTGAAGAGTATGTATGTCTGCACAGTGCATGTTGAAATGATAGTACAGTGTATATATTAGATTAAAGGAGTCCTGGTGGCACAGTGACTAAACGCTCGGTTGCTAATCACAGGTGGGCACTTAGAACAAACCAGCTGCTCCCTAAGGGAATGATGTGGCAGTCTGCTTCTCTAAAGATTATAGCCTCAGAGGGTCTACCCTGTTCTTAAAGGGTTGCTATGAGTCAAAATCATCTCGAAGGCAATGACATGGGATATTGGATTCAGTATATTATGAAATTCATCTCACCGGGTACTACTAACATGGGTTCTGGAAACTTCTCAGTGTCATGCTGCCCGCGTTGCATTTCTCGTGGACGGTGCCACTCTAGAAATTGAAGCCCCAGTAATTCTAGCAGAGTTCTGTGTTGGTTTTCTCTTACCATTGAAGGAAAGATAGACTTACACTAATAGACTTGTTCTCACTTTGTCAGTATAGATAAGGTTTGCATGCCATATTTCAGTACGTGAGAGCATCTCTTAACAATCATTTGTCACACTTCCCAGTTTTATGCTGCTCTCCTCCACAACTGTCTGCACTTGACAGCTGTATTTTTCTGTACAGCTAGTTGTTTTCTGTTATTTAAATCTAAAAGGTATGATCTATACACTTTTTTTTTTTACAAAGAAAAATGTCCAAGTTAATTTTAATTGTTACCACATCTGGTTTGGGGATGTAAGTTATCCCAGAGGAGAAGTTTTGAAGTGACAGAACAGTTTCTGACTATATCTGCTGATGGAGGGGGTGATGTTTAACAGCTTGAGTGGTTTATGTCAAAGTTAGAGAACGGTATTAAGACTAGTTAGTGTCTTTGATTAAGAATTAAACCAAAAAAACCCAAACTCACTGTTGTCAAGTTGGATCTGACTCAAAGCGTCCCCTCCTTGGGTTTCTGAAGCGGTATCACTATGGAAATAGAGTGCCACACCTTTCTTCCAAGGAGTGGCTGGTGGGTTTGAACCACTAGCCTTCTGATTAGCAGTCAAATACCTTAGGATTACTTAATAACAAATTATAATAAAGTAAATGGAAAAGAGCTCTCAGGATGGACTTCTCTCAGTAGGTAGTGTTTTTTTCTCTCCCAGAACATAGATTGTGTAGTAATTGTTCCAGAAAACCAAGGCACTGCCATCTAGTCGATTCCAGCTCACAGCAACCCCCGTTGGATTTCCAAGGCCGTATAAACCTTTATGAAGGAAGAGTGCCGCATCTTCCTCCTACAGAGTGGCTGGTGGGTTTGAACTGTTGATCTTCTGGTGAGCAGCCAAATGTCTTACACCACAGGAGCCCTGGTGGCGTAGTAGTCAAGCACTTGGCTGCTAACTGAAGGGTCAGTGATTAGAACCCACCCGTCACCTCATGGGAGAAAGTAGTGGCAGTCTGCTTCTACAAAGATTATAGCCTTGGAAACCCTATGGGGCAGTTCTGCTCTGTCCTACAGGGTCACTATGAGTCCATACTGACTTAGTGGCAATGGATTTTGTTAATGATGAGCTCGCATTAACTCCTTGTTGGAAAGAGAAACTTTGCTTTCTTGTTTGACGGGAATGCTGTTTTGTATGTTTCTGGTCATTTAGTCTACTCAGCAGAGCATCTTGTTGGCAGGCCTCCTCCCATGGCTTGTCAGTGCAGAGGTGAGGTTCCTTCCTCTCCGGGGGCTCCTTTTGCCTGACAGTCACACGTATGTCTCCTCCTTTTTTTTTTTTTTCCTCCTTATAAGATTATTGCTTCAGCCAATTACATGCTTTCAGAACTTTTTCAATTGGATGAACCTAAAAAAGAGGAAAGTTCAGAATCTCCTTTAAATGAGAACTCTGATGAAAGTTACAGTGAGGAGGAGGAGGAGGAGATGCCAGACAGCGATGAAAACGGATCCTACAGCACCAGCTCTGACCCCTCAGAGGACAACAAGGCGGTGGCTATAATTAAGTCTGTTGGAGAATTGTCAGTCCCTGAAAAATACAAATCCATCCATCAGATCAGAGTAAGTGTATTAGAACTTGCATTAAAATGTTGGCAGTGGCTAAACAGCTGTTCAGTGAACATCCAGATATGCATCATTTCACATTTGTTGAGGCGGCGTCCGACTACATCTATGTCCATAGCCCATAAGGTATTATTTTTGTTTCTTATTTTAAAGGGAAAGCAGTTCTCCTTTATTACTTCCCCTTAATGGTTTTAAAGACCTCAGACCGCCAGAGTGGATGAGCAGTGGGGATACAGGGAATATCCCAATTCCCACAGCACCTCCTTCTTCCCCCCTCCTGCTGTCATTCACCCATCCAGCAACCACGCAGCTTTTCACTCCTGGCACCAGGCATCGCCTGCCGCGGCTCCTGCACTTCTGCCCTGACGGCACTGGTTGGGCCTGTGGTGTTCTGGGCAGTGGCAGATATGCTAACAGGGTAGCGATGGCCAGTGCCACCATTGCCAGCCATGCTCCCTACACGCACAGTCCCTGTGGCCACCTCTCCATACCCAACGCCTGCCAGCCAGTCACCCCCATCTCCACCCTGAGGCCAGATGTGCACAGATCCCCATCTAGCTACTGGCACAGCCACACCCCCCCCCCCCCGCCTCCTGTGTCCAGTGGATACAGCTCTTGGGCTTTGTCCAACAGGCTCCCATAAAATTCAACCAATAGGCTTTATCAGGGTATAACTACAGCCTGTGCAGGTACTGCCTGTGTATAATAATACGATGTTCCTGTGACCCTGGTCGTGTCAGCCACATTGGACCTGTCCCTACCCTGGTCAGGGCCAGAGAGACTCCTGCCACTCCCTGCCCTTCAGGTTTCCCTCAATGTGGGATATGTCAGCTGTACCTCTGCAAGTAATATGATTAGGTTCTATTTTCTAAACTGATTCTTTCCAGTTTTGCCTTCTTGGGATTAGACCCAGGTCAGCTGTAAAAGACTGTTGCCTGTGAAGCAGTCCTATTTCCAGAAAACCTCTTGGTTAAGCTTTGAGTTTAACTTTCAGCAGAAAGTTTCTATGAAGTAAGCTTTTGAGAGGGCATCCCTGTCACCCTGACGCATTGCCTGTCTTTCTGACCTCCTCCTCTGCTTTCTTGTATACCTCATCTGTTCTGGCTTTTTCTCAGTCTCTCAGACACATCGAAGATCATCCCTGCTTGAGGCCTTTGCATTTGCCATTGCTTCTGCTGGAACCTCCCCAGATCTCTGCACGGCTCCTCTCTCAGCTGGAAGTCTCAGCTGAATTTCTCCTCCTCCAGGAGCCGTGCCCTGGCCACTCTGGCCAAGGTGTTCTCTCTTCCTGCTGCTACCTTTGCTCTCTTGTGTCTCTTGGTGATGCACGTCTATGTCTGAAGTTTCTCTTTGTGTCTCTCTCCCGTCACTAGAATGGAAGCTTCCCCAGGGACAGACAGGCTTGGGTCTCCCAGGTGGAAATCTTATAATGGCTCTCAGTAAATGTTTCACTAGACGACTACTGGAGAAAGTCACTGGCTGTCTTTTAAATTTTAGTGCATTTTCAGTGTGAATTTCACAGGGGAGTAGAAAAATATTTTTTGGATTATAAACAAAATTGATTACAGAAGTCACATGGCTTTGAGAAGCTGGGTGACATCCCAAGACCCTGGACTTAGGGGACAGCTAGGTGATGGTTAAAGATAGCGGGGTAAGTTAGTACCAGTTTTCACGGTGACGGTGCTGTGTCAGAGGCCTTGGTGCAGCCGTAGCTGTCCACACAGACACAGCTTTAGTCAGTGCTGTCTTCTTGGCCTTCGGTGATTGGCCTTCAGAGTCCCAGCTTCCCCTTCCCTCCCTGTGTCCTCGGACAGGCTGTTGTGCATCAGCCCACTTCTCTGCTGTGAAGTGAGAGTGAAATACTAACCTCCTGGGATTCAGTGACATGACCTGCCTGGCAGAGACCCTCACACCCAGTAGTCACTTAGCAGGTGGAAGCTGTTACTGGCTGGGCTCCTAAGTAACACTGTCAGTTATACAGGAGACCACTGGTGACGCTTATTAACATTGCTAAACTCGGGCTTTTGTTCACTGTGAGTTACCAAGTATCAGTGTTACTTAAGAGTTGAGCCTACCTAATAGATGGAGAGCTATGGTGGCGTAATGGATAAGGCATTTGGTTGCTAACCAGAAGGTCAGAGGTTGAGATCCACCAGCCGCTCTGCAGGATGATGGGGCAGTCTTCTTCCATAAAGATTTACAGCATTGGAAACCCAGCGGGGGTTGCTATGAATCAGAATCAGCTTGAGGCAGTGAGTTTGGTTTTTTTGGACTAGATCAGCGTGCACTTACAAAAAGGTTACTTATTACATTGAGTACTGAAAGTGTTGTAGGCTTTACCCTCGTTTTATTTGGGTTACTTTATTTGGGTTACTTTATTGCACTTTGCAGACCTGATTTTTTTTTTTTTTTTAATACAAATTTAAAGTTTGTGGCAACCCTGCTGGTCTAGTAAGTCTGTCAGCACCCATTTTTCCAACAGCTGTGCTTATTTCATGTCTCTGTGTCATGTCTTGGTAGTTTTTACAGTATTTCAAACTTTTTTGAAGTGTGCACAGTACTGCACACTTAGTTCACTACAGTATAGTATAAACATAACTTTCTTAGTCCTGGGAAAGCAAAAAGTTCCTGTGACTCGCTTGATTGCAATACTTGCTCGATTACAGTGGTCTAGAGCCAAACCCGCAGTATCTCCAGGGTATGCCTGTGTATCTTGTTGTTAATCAAGATTTTTGTTGAAGTTTATGATAATTTCATATGCAACAAAAATAGTACCTTAAACTTAGTATCAGAGATTTCACTAAGCTGACTACATCAGCAGATTTCTCAATTACTGATTTACACCCCAAACCAAAACCTGTTGCTGTCAAGTTGATTCCTACTCATGGCTGCCCCTGGTGTTGGGCTGCAGGCATTCCCAGGAGGTGAAAGCTTAGGAATTTGTTGTGTTGGTGGCATAGTAATCATTTCAAACGTTTGTTTCTGAAGCCAAGCTGTGCGTTTCCAGTTTGCCATGACACAGAAGAGCGCTGTAGACTGGTTCTTAGCTACGTCCTAGAGGTGAGTTCAAGTTCAGTCTCCACTTCTCACCAGAATGTACTTGCTGGTCAAATAGCACTTGATCAGTGAGTAAATGTCATCTGGATGGTATTCTGCTGTAATGTTTGTAAGTTTAAAGTGAAAATCTAATTAGTTTTTCCCACCCCTTTCAGATCGAACTTGCTTTTGTCAAGTCTGTTTGCAGAATGTAAATTTCCTAAATGAGTTGGGTAGCCTAGTCACTGCCTAGTACTTAGTTGTCACTTGACCTTTGGTCAAGTTAGCAGCAAATATGTTCTGTTTTTTAAGGGTTTAAAATCTGTGGATAGCAGCATCAAAAAAGAAGGTGACCTTCCTGCAGCTGACCCCAACACCCCGATTCCACTGAAGTATGAGGATGAATCCACTCAGGGGGGTCCTGAGGGCCTGGAGAAGCAGATGGCCTTGTTTCTGGACAAAAGTAAGTGGAATCACTGTGCCTTCAGTGGAATGATGTACAAGGACCTTACCAACAACAGACTTGGGTTAGCAAAGGCATGCATTCAACGGAATTTAGAAAAAGGATGATGTGTAAGTAAGGAGGTAGGGGAGACTGTCCCTTCATTACAAATATAAAACAGTAGTATAATTGCACTCCTTCGTAGAGATTTCTAATAGAGACGTAAGAGTGCTGATTGTTCCCATCACCTGCTGAGAAGGGACCCCTTCAGCCAGGTGGGGTTGGACATGGCCACTGCAGTCAAAGTAGGAGAGTGTGTGGATGCTCTGAGCCTTGGCTGTGCTCGGGCGAGATGGTCCCCCTTTGGAGCCTTGTTGCCTCTCTCTCACAGTGGAGACGGGTTGTTGAAAAAATGACGTGAGTTAATGTGTGACTACACTCATACATGCTGTCAGCGTGCCAGCTGCTGTTAGCTAATCGTGCAGGAGCAAATGCAAAACGCCATTTATGATTTACCATCTGTTCTCTGGCACATCACTTCATGAAGAACGTGTGGACTTGGAAGTAAAAGCCTTGAGTGTCTTGTTTACTTTAATACAACTTGTATTTGATTTTCCAGCCTTTACTTCCCTTTTAGATCCACTCTGTTGTTGTTGTTGTTATGTGCCGTCAAATCGGACCTAACTCATAGTGACTCCTCCTTGGGTTTCCGAGGCAGTATCACTACAGGAGTAGATTGCACAACCTTCCTTCCGAGATCCACTCTAGTTGTTTTAAAAAATATTTTGAGATCCTCCACGTTTGAAATAATACCAAGTGCTATCTGGACATCCCCCAGCCCCCAAACGGTAATGGTTGGGTGGTTGGGGGCAGGGTAGAGAAATGTCACCGCCAGTCTTCCTGTAGCGCTGCCTGGGTGCTTGAGCCCATGTGCAGTGAGGGGACCCATGGCAGGACTGGGGGCGTCTGCCTTCCCCATGGCATGCTTTTCTCAGGGGTGCCTTTTCTGACCCTTCTTCCCTCTTCACCTCCCGAACATGTGGAACATGCTGCTCAAGCTCAAAGCCTTTGTCCCTTGTCAGAAGTGCTCAACGCCCCCCATGCCCCCCCATTTTGAGCTGTGAGCACTTGAAGTCTGCCTGTGTCATAGTTTTCTGGGTTAAACGGTCACACGCACAGTTGTTGGCAAGAACTTCATTTCATTCCTCTTTTGTTTTTCTAGTGTGCCTCACACACAGAAAACTAAATGTTTATCCAGTTAGAAAACTTGCTTTCTCACCCCTAAGGGGTTTGTGTACCATAGACCAAAAAAACCAAATGCACTGCTGTCAAGTCAATTCTGACTCATAGTGGCTCTATAGGACAGGGGAGAACTGCCCCATAGGGTCTCCAGGGCTATAAATCTTTATAGAAGAAGACTGCCTCGTCTTCTCCCACAGAGCAGCTGGTTGCTTCAAACCACCCACCTTTTGGTTAGCAGCCAAATGCTATAACCACAGTGCCTCCAGAGTTCATTTTATGTCCCATAATAGCAGAGAAAAAAAATACATACTCTAGTAAAACTGGAATAGAGACAAAGTGCCCTTCATTATAACCTGATCAAAAAGTGACACATTTTCTAACAGGAGATGAGGCTGTCTCTCACACCATGTTCTTACCTTTGGGGTTACACTGAGTGTATTTGTGGTGGCTTGTTGGATAGTGCCTAAGGCATTTGATTGCTAACCAGAAGGCTGGTGGTTCAAACCCCCAGCCACTCCTTGGAAGGAAGACTGGGCAATCTACTTCCATAGAGATACTGCCTCGGAAACCCAAGGAGGGGTTGCCGTGAGTCGGGACTGACTAGACGGCAATGAGTTTGGTTTTTGGAGTTTTGTATTGTCAGCCCATCTTCACCCCCAGTCTGTGACGTCTCCAAGGACAGAAACTGTTCTTCATGGTACTATCTCCAGTGCTGGGCATGGTGCTTAAATGAAGAGACTAGTGACGGGCTGGGCTATAAATAAACAGTATTCCTAGAAAGGAAATGGTGAGCTGAGCCCAGTCTTCCTTCCAAGGAGTGGCTGGTGGGTTTGAGTAAGGAAGGGGCAGGTGCCCCATGAACAAGGAGAAACTGCATCTAGACAGATGGAGCATTTGAGGGAGGAGAAGGAAGTTCATGAAAGGCAGCGGTTCCGGAGGCAGGCCACGATGCTTCCCCGTGGTTTGTCAGGTGCTGAACAGCCGTGTCTGAGCTTCAGAACAGGCATCTGATTAAAACTGTGCTGCGGGAGACACTCTTGTCGGCAGGTTGACAAACACACTGGAGAAGGTGGCAGCGTCTGGAGTGTAGGTCAGTCAGTGACCCTGAGAGAGGAGGGAGGAATTGACAATGGAGGGAAGCCGACACCTGCCACTTGACATCACTTCCTTAAGTAGTAAAGCACAATGGTTACCAGTTCTTGCAGCAACGGTACCTGAGGACAGCGTGTTCTTATTAAGACAGGAAATGTTTTTTACAGTGAGACTTGCGTTCACATAAAATATGCTGCTTTTTCCCTGTGGCACAGTGGGCTCCCTGCAGAAGGGCCATTACTCCAGTCAGTCTGGGATGACCCCTGGGTCGTGGCAACATAAGATGAAACTTCAGCTGATTCTCAAGTCATCCAAGGCCTACTATGTTTTGTCTGATGCTGCAATGAGTCTTCAGAAATACGGAAGAGCCTTGCGATACATTAAGTTGGCCTTGCAGAGCCATGGTGAGCACCTAACCACTGTGTGGTGGGCATGGGGGCAAGAGGTATGTGCACACTGTGAGGTTTTAGTTCTCTTTCTCTAGGGAAATTTTATTTTAAAATGATTTCTTCTAATCCTAAATATGTATTATTTTCTCTGAGTGGTTTAATACTTCTTCATTTTGGGATATTTGAAGCCATGCATGTTACCCTGCATAAATTTCAGAGTAGACACTGGTGCAGAGCTTTCAGCTAGTAACACATCTTCTTACCATCTACCATGTCCATTCGTGTTGAAAGCCCTTGTGGTTTTTTGTCCTCCTCACCCTTCCCAAATAGATACCTACTGCTGCCTGTGCACCAATATGCTTTCGGAAGTGCTGCTGTTCCTTTCTCAATACCTGACGCTCTGCGGGGACATCCAGTTGATGCTGGCCCAGAATGCAAATAACAGAGCCGCACACCTTGAAGAGTTTAATTATCAAACCAAAGAGGATCAGGAGATACTGCACAGCCTCCACAGAGAGTCCAGTTGTCAAGGTAGCGAACAGCTCAGTTACTCACATTGGGATCAGTCAGTGCAGCTCATGCTTAGCTGAGTATACCCAGAAAAGTGGCGGAAACCTGTAGTGGCGGGATAGTCACTCTGTATTATTTCTTAATTGTACAGTTGAGCATGATCCTGTGTAACTGTATATGTGGCGGTTTTGAAATATGTTATAATTAGAACTGAATGCAGGCATACCACAGTTTACTATTGTTGTAGGGGGCCATTGACTTGGTTACAACTCGTAGTGACCTCATGTAAAACAGAGTGAAACACTGCCTGACCTGTGCCATCCTCACAATCATTACCTTGCTTGAGCCCATCACCACGGCCACTGTGTCAGTCCATCTCATCGAGGGTCTTCCCCTTTTCTGCTAAGCATCTACTTTACTAAGCATAATTCCTCTCTCAAGGGATTGGTTCCTTCAGACAACATGACCAAAGTACAAGAGACGACGTCTGGCTATACTTCCTCCAAGACAGATTTGTTCATTTTTTTTTAGCAGCCCATGGTATGCTCAGTATTCTCTGCCAACACCACAATTCAAACACATCAGCTCTTCTGCAGTGTCCTTACTGTCCAATTCTCAGGTGCAGATGAAAATACCATGGCTTGGTCAGGCGCACCTTAGTCTTTCAAGTGACATCTTTGTTCTTTAGCATTTTAAATAGGCCTTATACAACAGATTTCCTCAATGTAATACATCATCTGATTTCTTGACTCCTGCTTCCATGGATGTTGATTGTGGATCCAAGTAAAATGAAATCCTTGACAACTTCAGTCTTTTCGTCATTTATCATAATGTTGCTTACTGGTCAACTTAGGAGGATTTTGGGTTTTTTTTTTTTTATGTTGAAGTGTAAACCCTATTGAATGCTGTAGTCTTTGCTTTAAGTTGTCTTCATTCTCAGCAATCAGGGTTTTGTCATCTGCATATCTCAGGTTGTTAATGAGTCTTCCTCTAATCCTTCTTCAGTCCAGCGTCTTAGATTATTTGCTCAGCATACAGATTGGATAAGTATGGTGAAAGGATACAACCCTGACACACACACTTTCTGGTTTTAAACCATGCAGTATCCCCTTTTCTGTTCAAACAGCTGCCTCCTGGTCTATGTACGGGTTCTTCATGAGCACAACTAAGTGTTCTGGAATTCCTGTTCTTCACGATGTTGTCCATAATTTGTTACGATCCACACAGATGAATGCCTTTGCGTAGTCAGTAAAACACAAGTAAGCATCTTTGTGGTATTTTCTGCTTTCGGCCAAGATCCATCTTACATCAGCAATAATATCCTTTGTTCTATGCCCTCTTCTGAATCTGGTTGAATTTCTGGCAGTTTCCTGTCAATATACTGCTGCAATCATTTTGAATTATCTTCAGCAAAGTCAGTTGGCCAGGTAGCTGTCTCCCAAATTTCTTGACATGAACAAGTGAGCACCTTCAGCTCAGCAGCCATTTGTTGAAATATTTCAGTAGGCATTCCATGAATTCCTGGAGTCGTCTTTGTTGCCAGTTCCTTCAGTGCAGCTTGGACTTCTTCCTTCAATACCATTGGTTCTTTACCATATGCTCCCTCTGGAATGATGAAACATCAGCCAGTTCTCTTTGGTACAGTGACTGTATTCCTTCATCTTCCTTTGATGATCCTGCATCATTCAGTATTTTGCCCCTAGAATCCTTCAGAGTCTCAACTTGAGGCTTGGGTTTTTTCCTTCAGTTTTTTCAACTTGAGAATGCCAAACCTGTTTTTTCCCTTTTGCTTTTCTAACTCCAGGTCTTTACACATTTCACTATAATACTTTACTTTGCCTTCTCAAGCTGCCCTTGGAGATCTTCTGTTCAGCTCTTTTACATCATTATTTCTTCCATTTGCATCAGCTACTTACCATTCAAGAGCAAATTTCAGAGTGTCTTTTGACATCCATTTTGGTCTTTTCTTCTTTCCTGTCTTTTTAATGACCCTTTGCTTTCTTCAGGTATGATGTTCTTGATACCATCCCATAAGTCGTCTGGTTTTCAGTCATCGGTGTTCAGTGTGTCAGATCTGTTCTTCGGATGGTCTCTAGATTCATTCAGGTGGGATGTACACAAGGTTATATTTTGGCTCTTGTGGACTTGTTTTAATTTTCTTCAGTTTCAACTTAAACTTGCATACAAGCAGTTGATGTTTCATTCTACAGTTGGCTGCTGGCCTTGTTCTGACTGAGGGTATTGAGCTTATCCATTGTCTCTTTCCACAGATTAAGTTGATTTGATTCCTTTATATTCCATCTGACAAGGTCCATATGTATGGTTACTATTCATGTTGTTGAAAGAAGGTATTTATAGTGAATAAGTCCTTGGTCTTGCAGAATTCTATCATGCAACCTCTGACATCATTTCTATCACCAAGATCATATTTTTCAGCTATTGATTTGTCTTGTTTCCAACTTTCACATTCTTATCATCAGTTATCAGTGCAATTTGATCATATGTTTGGTCAATTTCAGACTACAGCAGTCGGTCAAAGTCTTCAATTTCTTCATCTTTGGCTTTAGTAGGTGCATAAATTTGAATAATAGTATTACCTGGTCCTTGTAAACATATGGATGTTATCCTATCACTGACAGCATTGTACTTCAGAGTAGATCTGCCTTTGATAATGAATGCAACACCATTCCACTTTATCATTCCCAGCATACTAGATCATACGGTTGTAGGATTCCAAGTGGACAATACCAGTCCCTTTTGTATTCCATTTCATTTTTGACAACTTCTCATTTTCTTAGATTCATAGTTTGTACATTCCACATTCCAATTGTTAATTAATGTTTGCAGCTGTTTCTCCCCATTTTGAGTCATGCCCCATCAGCAAAGGGAGGTCCCAAAAGCTTTACTCCATCCATGTCATTAAGGTCAGCTCCACTTTGGGGGGGGGGGGCAGCTCTTCCCCAGTCATGTTTTGAGTGCCTTCCAAGCTGAGGGGCTTATTTTCTGGCACTGTATCAGACAGTGTTTCCCTGCTGTCCATGAAGTTTTCCAGTAATAAAGTTTTCAGTGGCCAGTTTTTTCAGAAGGGGATGGTCCCCTCCTTCTTCCTAGTCTGTCTGGAAGCTCTCCTGTTCCTGCCCACCATGACCCTGCTAGTATCTGAAATGCCAGTGGCATATCTTGCAGCCTTACAGCAACATGCAAGCCCATACCTTTATTGTGCTTTGCAGATGGGTTTTTTACAAATTGAAGGTTTGGCACCATTTTTCCAACATTATGTGCTCACTTTTTGTCTCTATGTGTTTTGGTCATTCTCACAGTGTTTTAAACTTTTCCATAATGCTATTGCACATTTAATAGATTATAAAAAAATATGTAAAATCATGTGACAGACTACAGTGTGATGTAATGTAACTTTGATATGCACTGGGAAGCCCGAAAACTCCTGTGACTCCCTTTATTGCGACATTCACTTTATTGTGGTGTTCTGGAACCGAACCTTTGGTTTCTCCGAGGTCTGCCTGTTGATGAGAGCTCTGGCAGTAATTATGTTGACTTTCTGTACACTTCGCAGAAGGTGTTTTGAGGAACCTTCTCTGTCGGCCAGCCACGCCAGGGCTTTTCTTTTGGAAAGGAACAACAGCTGGTGAAGGTAGACAAGTTGCCTTCTGAATGGTTCCTGAGGCTGAGATAAAGAGGATGTCAGTTTTCACAGTTAGTTCATTGCCAGCTGTCTCCCTGAATGCACACTGTGTCTTGGAGCTGTCAGGTTTCAGAGCCGGCAATCATGGGATTTCACCCAGAGCTCGGTCTCTCTCCGCTCAATGCAGTTAGATAACCTTGCCGCAGTGAGGATAGTTAAGTGGGACGTGACATCTGTCAGAAGGTGGCACAGTTCACTGTGCCCTTGAGTTGTTTGTATCCTTTCATGTGTATCTCTAAAGAAACAGCTGAAGGAAATACATTGGGGGAAGAATGTATTATTTCCTGATATTTTTGCCCTCTTTCTTTTCCTTCTCCCCCCGTGTTTCTCAAATGGTCATTTTATTTTAGTAAACGCAGCAGACCAGTCCTCAGGGTGTTCTTCCCGCTCCCTCCTGGTAGCTCCACTTGGTGTGTGTCTTTGTGAGGCCCATGTTCTCAGCCTTCTTCAGCACTGTCGCACGAGTGCTACCTTCCTCCACCTTGAATTTGGGTCCAGTGCCTGTGTTTGCTCCAGTCCCCACTAGATGGCACTTGTCATTACTTTTCCCAGGCTGACAGCAGCCGTCTTGGCACTCAGCATTGGCAGGCAGAGTCCACACCTGGCCTCTGCTGAGTGCTCAGAGCTTTATTGCAGGAAATCCGTCCATCCATACACAGGAAACGTTGCCTTGTATCAGCAGGCAGCTTTCGGTCTGTGCCAGTGAACAGGCGTGCCTTGTGAAATCTTGGTGATGGGAATTGGTGTTTATCGGGAACAATGTGTTTATCCGCTGTTGAAGCCCCAAGAAAACATTGAGTTTTGTAAATAAGTAAGTTTGCTCTGAAAATGAAAAAGTTGGTTGTATTTATTGAATCTCACTATGTTCATATATTGTATTAGCTCCAGTTTTCTTGTTTTATTATTTAAAATCTTTATAGTGAAACTTAGTTGTAGTCGATAAATGTTAGTATGTTTATGTTGCATTTCCTGTGATTTTCTTGTTCAGTCTTAAAAATACCAGGGTGATTTAAGTACTAGGGAATAAGGGTGCATGTGACTCACTCAGGTTTCTTATTTTCTTTAAGGATTTGCGTGGGCCACTGATCTATCTACAGATTTAGAAAGTCAGCTTTCAGTTAGTTGTAAATGTTATGAAGCTGCTAATGAAATCTTACAGTTCAGTGACCTAAAAAGCCAGAATCCAGAGCACTACGTACAAGTCCTGAAGAGAATGGGTAACGTTAGAAATGAAATCGGTGTGTTTTATATGAATCAGGCTGCTGCGTTGCAGAGTGAGCGAGGAGGTGAGTACCCCACTGGGTCCCCCTTTATTGTCTAGTCCACAGAATCAGGCAGATTGTGTAGCAATTCAAGCACAGAACCATGACACTTGGTGCTGTGTCATGAAGGGGTGTCCTGTCATTTGGATTGTTAAATTCTCAAGAAATGCAGTTAGGACAAACATGATTTCCCATTGGGATGTCCTCCATTCCTCCTTGCATGGTTCACTCCGTGTCAGTCCAACCAGGTTGGACATGTGGTCAGCTAAGATGTGGTCTTCTGACTAATCGGGAAACCAGAAAGGAATGGGAATCCGACAGATGCCATGGGAACGTACAAGTGCAGTGCAGTGTGGTGAGGAGGGCATTGTGGCGTGGAGCTCCTGGGTGCTTTGGGGACAAGCAGTGCTCCGAACAGGGCATGATCTGTGGAACGCCAGCAGGCAGAGATGAGGAACAAGGGGCTTTCCAGACCGATGGGCAGCAGTGAGAGGAGCCAGAGGGGTGGGCTCCAGCGATCTGGAGGGACCTCGTCAGGGTGATGGGTTCATTTGGGCCCATGTTGAATTTGAGAAACCCATAGGAAATCTATGAAAAGGTCAGATAGAAATGGGTGCTTACAGCTATTGGGACCAGGAGAGACATAGGCCGGGGGCCATTTGCACAGGAGTGACAGTTGACATCATGAGAATGGCTTAATTGGAAAGGCTGAACACATAGTGTGAGAAGGGGAGGCTGAGGTAGGCCTAAGTGCCTGTTGACCTGTGAACTGTGCCCACTAGGGATACAGACACACAGCATGAGAAGGGGAGTCTGAGATACTCCTGAGGGCCCAGTGGGGACATAGTGCCCCTGAAAAGTTCATGGCCAGTGGAAGACCCTGCATGTATGTAAAGGGTATCTGGAGGAGGGAGCGTCTGTGAAGACGGATGAGAAGTGGTGGTCAGAACCCTATAAGAGTTAGCACGCAAAATGGAACCTCGAACAAGGCCAAGGGCAGCACATCCTCTTGATCTTGACCAAATAGTCATTGACGCGGAGGTTTTTGTATTTGCTCTGATGTCAGTTGGCTAACATTGTAGGGTTAGAGTGGCACACTGTCCTTGGGCCTTTGCTGGCCTCCCCGATTGCCCCTGCTCTCATTGGGAGAGGTCTGTGGGCTGCACGCCATTACGTGCTTACACGGTTTCTTTCTTTCTTTGTGTTTTTGCAAAGTGAGCAAAAGTGTGTCTGCTGCAGAGCAACAGTTGTGGAAAAAAAGCTTTTCTTGTTTTGAAAAGGGAATTCACAACTTTGAGTTAATCGATGACGCTACAAACACTGCCCTTTTATTGTGTAACACGGGAAGGCTGATGCGAATCTGTGCACAGGCGCACTGTGGAGCTGGCGACGAGCTGAAACGTGAATTCTCACCGGAAGAAGGCTTATATTACAATAAGGTAACGCACGTAACGCTCCTTTGACCTTGGTGCCCCTCCTATACAATATCACAAAGCTAATTAGGTGTGCTCATGGCACGGGCGTAGGCAGAACAGCAGAACACTTAGCAGCTGGCCTAACGGTAAGGACTGAACTGATAGGAAAAGCTGGTGATTCCACACATTGTGTTGTACCCAGAGTGCGTGTCAAGTGGATTAAAGGTGGACATGAAGGAAGTGAAGCCGAGGAAGTACCAGAAGAAAATACAGGGAGAGGCTTATCTGCTGAGCTGGAGAGGAATGTTCCCCGCATGGCCCCTACACAGAAAACGCACAGTACAGGGTGGACAACTTGAATTGTGTGAGAAAGTGTATTCAGTGTACATCAGAAACGGAAACGCAAACCACAGTCCCACGATCTAGGGGAAACAGATCAGAGATGATGCACTCTTCACATAGAAAGAACAGTTAGGAATTGTTGAAAAGGAACTGGTCCAACAGAGTAAAGCCTGAACAGACAGTTCACACGTGTGAAAATAGTGAAGGGCTGATACAGACCCAGGAATGATTTGTATGAAATTTAAAATTTGAGTTTTGTGTATCAAATTGCCAGAATATTTTTTGGCAAATGGTAATCAGGGCTGGAGAGGGTGAGAGAAAACAGGGACACGTGCTTGATTGGGTGGTTGGAAGCTATTTAAATGCCATCAGTGGGAGATATTTTTGGCATAACTCACTGCCATCAAGTTGATTCTTACTGTAGTGAGCCCATGTGACAGAGTCAAAGTGCCCCCTAGGGTTTCCTAGGCTGTCATCTTTACGGGGGCAGAGTGCCATGTTTTTCTCCCATGGAGTGGCTGGTGGGTTTGAACTGCCAACCTTTGGTTAACAGCTGAGCGCACTTTAACTACTGCATCCCCAGGGCTCTTTTATTGGCATAATAAATGTGAAGAGAAAAAAAAACTCATGAGTGTGTTTTGTTGTTCTTTTTTAAGTTTATATGCACATATGAAGAGAGGAGATGTGTGGAAATGATACAGAAATGTAGGAATTAGTGCTGAGTGATGGAATGGACTGTGGTTGGGTGGCTGGCTTTGTCTTTTAAATAGAATGACCATGTCTTGAAGGATGAGTGTGCTGGAAAAAAATAATTTCTTCTTCTGTTTTTTATTTATTTTTAAAATTTTCATTGTGATTTGGGTGCACATTTACAAACATAAGTTTTATACTCAATAGTTCCTACAGATTTTGCTTCACAGCACTGATTACAGTCCCCACAATAAAGGGCTCTCCCCTCTCCTCCCTGTGCTGCCCTTCCCTGTGTCCTTCTTGTCTGTGCTTTCCTGTCTGGCCAGCTTTCCCCCCGTGCAAATGCGGCCCTTCTGATCTCTCCCTGTTGGATGATCTGAAGGCTGCATCTCCCTGGAATAGGTGTTCTGCTTGTAGGCCTTTCTCTCATGTGGCTGAGAGCTCATCTGTGGAAGTGAGTACAGTTCCAGGATAGCCAGGGGCCATAGTCTTGGCGGTTCTTTTTTTTTTTTTTTTAATTAAATAGTAAAATCTGGCAAATTTTCTATCCATCTGGACATTGCTAAGCATTATTTTCTAGCTTACTACTTACAGAAGCCGTCACTTTCATTTAGAAGGAGAACCAACAGGGTAGTATGGCTCCTTAGGCACTGCCCATGTCCAGAGGCCGTACCAGGCCATACAGCAGGAAGGGGCATTCTGGCCGTGTGAAACAGCTGGTCATTACAATATTGCCATTGCTTTACTGACTTTCTGCCTAATGTAGGTTTACAGATTCTCCCAAAATTAAATTACGCCTGTTGCTTTTTTTTTAAAGTATGTTTTATTTCAGTGCGATATTGGCAAACTTAGTCAGAAGTTAAACTTTTTTCTCCCTTGCAGGCTGTTGATTACTATTTGAAAGCTCTTAGGTCATTGGGTGCACGAGAAATACACCCCTCCGTTTGGGATTCGGTGAACTGGGAACTGTCCACTACTTACTTTACTATGGCGACTCTCCAACAAGATTACGCCCCACTGTCCAGAAAAGCTCAGGAACAGGTACTGCTAGTTATGGGCTGTACAATTGGTCGGCTTCACAAACACGGGGCATCCAGTAGCATCTTTTCTTTGGCAGGCAATGTTAAAATGTTGTAAAAACTCTTACAGTTCAGATGATGGACCTTTTTTTTCTTTCCTCCTCAACCTGCCCCCCCCCCCCCCCCAGATTGAGAAAGAAGTCAGTGAGGCCATGATGAAGTCACTGAAGTACTGTGACGTGGACTCGGCGTCTGCTCGGCAGCCCTTGTGTCAGTACCGGGCTGCGACCATCCATCACAGGCTGGCTTCCATGTACCACAGCTGTCTGCGCAACCAGGTACTGGCGTTCCTGTTGAAATTCTGTGCCGAGTCAGTTTAAAGGTGATCTTGGTGCTTTTCTTACATTCCAGTGTATATTTTAAACACCATCTACTTTAATTAGCTACCTTAGAAAAACTTGATGTGTGATGCCCATCTCCCATTTAAATCTACTTTTATTGTAAAGTAGAGCACCCATATAAAAGCACATAGAAAATATATTGAAATATGTGTAGAGTTTAAAGTATAACAAGTGAAACCCCCATGTGCACAGTTCGGACTGGAGGATGCTTTAGAAACTGCCTGCGTGCCCTTGCGGGCCCTGTCGCCCTCTCTTAGAAACCACCTGCGTGCCCTTGCAGGCTGTGTCGCCCTCTCTGCCTGCCCACACGATCCTGAAGTTTCTGGTCCTGATGCCCATACCTGTTTCATGTGTTACTATTTACTATGTTTACACTTACCCACTTGTGGTCTTTCTGAAAGGGCTCATACTGTCTCCTTCTGGAGCTTAATGCCTTCGTGTAACATCATGCTTTTGAGGTGCGTTCATGTTGGTGCACGTAGAGCCCTTCATTTTCTCAGCTGAATCGCATTCAGTAAGTGAGCATACCACAGCTCGTTCATTTCTGTGATCAGTGAGTTTCTGGGTCGTTTTCGTTTGGTGATCACAAATCATCTGTGAACTGCCTTACGTATGAATCCTGGTCCTCAAATACATGTATTTCTAAGAAGTACATGAGGTCTCAGATGAAGGAGCCACCTTCAGAGAAGTTGCTTTGATTCTGCCAGGAGTCTTGTGCTTCCAGTTTCTTGGGAGTGAGTTTTATCTGTTTGCGTCTTTATTTTCTTGTTTTTCCCCTTTCTTGATACCAAGACAGCTTATTTTTCATCCCTTGGGCGTGGGGTTGCTTCTAGATTGCCCTTCTCCTGAGAGTCCTGTCATTGAAGATCCAGCTTCATCTTGAGAGGATTTCTTTCTTTTTTTAAATTGTGATTTGGGTGAAAGTTTACAGAGCAAATTCATTTTCCATGCAGCAGTTCATAGCCGTTTAGTATCATGACATTGACTGCAACCCCCATAATGTAACAGCTTTTTCCACTTTTTCCCTGTATTTACCTCTTCCCTGTGTCCTTCTTTCCCATGCATTCCTGCCCTCTGAACTATCTCCCAGTGCAAACACTACCCTTCGGATCTCCCAAGATGGATTGTTTTAAGGCGTGTACCTACCTGGTGTAAATGTTCACTTTATGTGCCTGTCTGTTGTTTGGTTGGAAGCCACAGGAGTGAGTTCAGTTCTAGGCCTGAAAGGTAACTAGAGACCATAGTCTTCGGTTTTACCAGTCTTTTATCAGACCAGTACGCCTGGTCTTTTTTATGAACTTTAGTTTTGCTCCACATTTTTCTCCCACTTCAAGAGGATTTCTTTCACCATTGAGCTACCACTTGGCTCTTTTCTTTCTGCCATATGAGGCCCCAGAACCAAAATCTAAGTTTGCCCAGAAGGCCTGAGATCCTCAGGGCAGAAGCAGGTTCCAGGTGCCTCAACGATTCAGTGGGGAAAGAATAGTGTTTATAGCAAATGATGCTGCTACAACTGGTCTCCACATGCAGACACTGGAATTGGATCTCTCCCTCCCATCATATCTGAAAATTAACTCAAGATGGATCAAAGACCTGAATGGAAGAGCTAAAACTGTGTAAGAGCTAAAACTGCAGGACTTTTGGAAGCAGACACTACACCGCATTTAGACATCAGTCAGGAGACTTGGTTAAGCGTGTGAAACCCAGCCGTAGGATTTGTGTTCTTCTTTTATTTCTGGCTCTAGGTTGGTGACGAGCATCTTAGGAAGCAGCACCGGGTCCTGGCAGATCTCCACTACAGCAAAGCTGGGAAGCTTTTTCAGTTACTGAAAGACACTCCATGTGAACTACTGAGAGTGCAGTTAGAAAGAGTAGCATTTGCGGAATTTCAGATGACCAGTAAGTCTTAACGTTTTTCTCAGATTTGTATGCATTGGCTTACTGTTGGATTGTCGTAGAATGAGGGGAGCTGTCAGTCTCTCTTGGATGTGGGTAATGTTTTCTCCTTGTAATTTGCTCACAGTTAATGAGGACCAGGCAGAGAGAAGTTTTAGAGTCTGCCCTTTCTGAAGTACCTTTTAACTTAGAGAAAGATGTTGGATTATGTTCACTGACTAAAAATACTGAAATTACAGCTCTTTACCCTTAGTTGAAAAAAAAAGTTTTGATAGTTTGGACAGAGATTTAAGTCAGAACGAAAAAACGTAGGGCTGGACCAGCAGAGTTCTCATCAAATCCCTTGAAACACAAGGGCTTAATGTCTCTCGGGAGCCCAGGTATGAATCACTGTGGAGGGCCATCTCCAGAGGAGCAGAGCAAGGGGCTCTGGAATGCCAAGGAGCTACAGAAAGGTTACCCAGAAGCTTCTAGAGTAAAACGAAACCTGATCATCCGGTCTGACCTTCCTTTGAACAGTGAGATAGTAATGCTCTTTCACAGGACACCTGCCACTGAGCAACTTGACATCATCACAGGAGGGTCAGGGCCCCTTTCCCATAATGCCCTGAGGCTGCCACCCATTCTGAATGACTGTTCGTAGCCTGACAGAACCAGAGAGTGAACGGGAAGCAGTTACTAGGCACTGCTCTGTCTGGACTGAGTATTATTCTGTAGGTGAATTTTTACATAGAAATAGGATCTAGATGACCTGTTGGGCTACCTTTATAGCATTTAAAAATCGGAATTTTCATTAATGTGTTGACATTGGGGGCAGTTTCTAGATTCATATTTAAAAGAGTTGGCATTTTTGTGTTTAATACTTTAGGTCAGAATAGCAAT